TGAGTCAACATGTAAAATTTAGAAGACTTATGCAGAAATCTGGACTTCAGACTTGTCTAAAAAATAAAATATGGTGTCCCCTGAGTTTCTTTTTTTTTTTTTTTGAGACGGAGTTTCACTCATGTTACCCAGGCTGGAGTGCAATGGCGCGATCTCGGCTCACCGCAACCTCCGCCTCCTGGGTTCAGGCAATTCTCCTGCCTCAGCCTCCTGAGTAGCTGGGATTACAGGCACGTGCCACCATGCCCAGCTAATTTTTTGTATTTTTAATAGAGACGGGGTTTCACCATGTTGACCAGGATGGTCTCGATCTGTTGACCTTGTGATCCACCCGCCTCGGCCTCCCAAAGTGCTGGGATTACAGGCTTGAGCCACCGCGCCCGGCCGTCCCCTGAGTTTCTATCATTGTTGGCCTGCTGTGCATAGGATGCTTCTTTATAAAAGTCATATATTCTCCAGTTTGCTACTGTGCCCACATCAGTACTTTCCTTACTCAGATCACCTTCCTTTGTCCTTGAAAGTATTTGAGTTTACAACTCTTATGTTGTTGTATATTTTGATAATGATTTCAAGGCTTTTAAGTCAATGTGTATTTGTTTATAATGTATAGTCTATAGATCATATAAATCCCTCAGTTATTGGGTTGAATTTTATAATTTAGTTTAAAACTCTTTATACCACAAATAATCATCTTCCCATATGAATGCCTAGAAGTTTTTTTTTTTTAGGTTATTTCTGGTTGTAGTTGGATAGTTTATGAATATTGCAGACATTATATCTTTCTCCTCAGCCATCTTCCTTAAAAACGCAAATGACTTATTGACTTTTATTATGCTAGAAATAACCCATATGTATCAGTATGAGAACTTTTATTGATAAGCCATTATATTTGTATTTGCTTTATATTTAGCCTAAAATAAAAAATAATTTTAAATAGCCATTTAAATGGAAACAAATAAAAATGGATTTAAAAGGTAAGAGTTGCTTTAGGGTCCCGACATTACCATTACAATTGAGAACAGAATTTCTTTCTGAGCTTTGTTTTTTTTTTTTTTAATATTTATTTTTAAG